CATTTTTTTGTGCAATTTCCAAGCACTCCCACTGAAAAACAACCCTTTAATTTGAGAACTTCACTTTTTTTTACATAATTTGCTGAATTAGACCAAATACTTTTCAAAACATTAAGACCATTTTTAAAATATCCCTTATTCTAGTAATACCACCAAATGTACAAGTGGAGACCAATGCGGCAGCGATGCTTATTGTGAACGACGAACCGGAGCGTGTCGATGCTATCCCGGCTTCGAAGGCGCACCACCTTTGGATCCCTGTCATGGTAATATGAGGCTGCTAGCAATTTTTACCAACAACCCTCTACGTTAAAAAATTCCAGATGTGGATGAATGCGCTGCTGGACTTCACAAATGTGACGTTAGCGCTAGATGCCATAACTACGTTGGAGGTTACGCATGCTTCTGCCCCATGGGTTATAGAAAGGATGATGGTGGCAAATGTGTTGGTGAGTTGTTAAAGTCTCAAATTAATGTTACATTAGACTGACTTCTGGCAAGTTAGCTTAATCCACATCTTATGGAATGGTTTCGCAAAGCAGAAAATAAATCTCTTACTTTTATTCTATGCTCTTCACAATAAATGTAGTTTTTCAATTTTAATTCTACTTTGCTCTGATTTGGGTTGTATATAGCCCACCATCAAACTGCATTTAAAATCTCACAATTTCAGATATCAACGAGTGTACTGAATCAAATGGAGCCTGCTGTAGCGTGAATGCTACCTGTATCAACAAAGAGGGATCTTATGGATGCGTATGCAACGAAGGTACTATTTTCATTAGGATAACCATCTTCTTAAAGAGATGTAAGGTTTTACTAAGACTGATTGGAGTTATAGAGATAATCTGGGACATTGATGATCCAAGCCACGCGAAATTTACACAACTGTACAATAACAGAACTTTAGAAATTTGCAGGAATTATATTTTCATTTATTTATTCAATGTCATACTCAATTAACGCGTGTCTTCATTTACCCAAATCTGGTTGCTAACCCAAAACTCCGTTGACTCAAATGAATTGAATTAATGTTTCAGGCTTTTTCGGAGACGGC